TATATTTTTCATCAAATTTGAAAATTAAGCCAACTTTTATTAATGTTCCATGTGAGTTCTTAAAAAATGTATTCTCAGTTGAGTGAACAGATCTATATTTATCTACCAGTTCAAGCTTGCTAATTTTTATTATTCAAATATTTGGCATCTTTATTCCTTTCAGCTGGCTTGATCTATCAACTTCTGAAAAGTATATCATACAAACTCCAACTAAACTTAATGTACTTTCCCCATAGTTCTGCCAATAGTCTTTCACTTTACATATTATATATATTATATACTTTATATAGTATATATTATATACTTTATATATTATATAGTATATATAATATATACTTTATTATATTATATACTTTATATATTTTTATATATATAGTATATATATTATATATATAAACAACCTACCATATTATCAACCTACCTGTCCACAGCCATAGATTTTTAAAATTGTATTACTAGTATATGTCATCCTTTGTACCTTGTTTTATAATGTTAAAACTGATGCCATGGCTTTTGTTCATATTTGCCTGCCATAATTTTTTCCATCTTTTATTTTCAATCTTTGTACACCTTTGCTTTAAATATGTCTTTGTAAACAATTGCTGTGTCTTTTAAAATCCAATCTGGGAAGACTGTGTGAGGCAGAAATTTCAATGTCTTTAGAATCCAGATGAATGAAACAGACTTGGGCAGGACTTCAAAGGAGCCAGTAATACAGTTGGAGGCAGAAGTACTTCAAGGTGGAGGGTTTTGCAAAAGCAGTTCAGAGTGGTCTTTCTTAATTTATTCCATTCTAAACCAGTTGGTGCCTTGGGAGTTAGGTCTGATCCCAAAAGACTTAATATGCTTTCCAAAAGAGCTCAAGTAATGAGCATGTGACCAGTTGTGTTCTGTTTCAATTTGAAAACGAATATTCAAAAATTGGAGAAAAAAGTTTTCTACCAGGGAGAGTTCAAACACAGACAACCTTCATGAAACCAGGGGGAATAAATGCCAAGGTCAGGGGAAGCCTTAACCATGACATTACTTGGCTCTATGTTCCTCAAACCATTACTCAACAACTAAAGGGATTAAAAGCTTTTTGAAGAGAACTGGTTCTTTTCCAAAGAACAGGCAGGTAGGAAGATAACACAGATGACCCCACTAAAGTACACTAAAATCAGAGACGCTTGCCGTGAACAGTAATGAGGAAATACTCAGAATAGGCAAGCCTCACATATACAACTGCTCTGCCTGATATTTAAAGCAAAGCGTAAAGGGACAAGAACCCAAAGGACTTGTAAACCCTTCTTTAATTCTAGTGCTTATATTCTAGAAGGATTTAGAAGAAGCTACTCATATTTCCTTGATCCAAAGATTCTGTATCTTGTTTCTAATGTTTAAGCAATAGTCTGTGGCAAAGACTGCTGAGAACACAAAATTAGACATGGCTCCTGAAAAAAAAAAAAAAAAAAACAACAAACCTCATTTATTCTTAGGCATATGATCAGGAGACACACAACACGTGTCAAGGCAGAGTTGTAGAAAATGCACATAAACATGACGGTAGACTTCTCCCAAGAAGTCTAAGAGCCACAATTTTAAGAGATTTACTTATTTTTCTACCTCTAATAAGTAAATGATGATGAATCCTTTGGGCGGAGAGGGACAATCATCTGTTTGATTTTCCCAGCAACAGATTTCAAGTGCTGCCATCTCCGATTTATAGATGAGTCTGGGTGCATATTTTCTTCCTATGACCACATAAAGGATGCATGAAGGATGGGTGGGTGCGTGCTACTTGGCCCTTGAGCTGACAGGGAAGGAATTACAGCTGGTGGTCTCAGAGCCTGTCAAACTAAACTTTGCTGTCTCAGATTCAGACCCATATCCACAGATCTCCTGTTCGCAGAAGCTGCAGGTTCTCTTGAGCTCTACACTGATCATCCATTCAGGTAGGGACTTTATTGACTCTACATTCACAGACTCTCTGGGATACAAGAGCTCTTATGAGAATCTAGCCCAACATACCTATAGAAGACTGACCAATGTCACACTGAGAGGCAGACTGGGTCTGGATTCTTCACATCGTCTCACACCCCAAGTGACTGCAATGGTGAATCACAAAGATTTGGCTTGGCCAGAGAATAGGCAAATACACATCTTAGAATTATAATTTTTTTTAAAAAAATACAATCAAACGACACTTTCTAAAGCAATGACAATGGTTTCTATTTCCGTTTCCAACCCAAATTCTCTTTTGGAATATGCTCAAGAAATGTTAGCCTCAGTAATGAGGACTGAAAGCCAAGAGTCCCAAATCCTACTGCAGAAACCTCAGCATGACTTTCTGTGAAACTCCTAATAAATCATTCAGTTTTGCCTTGAAACCACTGAATAACTGGGAATAATTTGGAAGCTAGTGTCTCAAATCATTACCTAGTGCACCCACATGAGAGTACTATTTACCTTGAGAATTGTTAAAATTCTACCCAGCAAGTCCACAGTAAATTGGCATCTCATTCCTGCCAGGAGGTGGCTCACATCAAAGTTGTGTTAACTTTAAAAGTCCATTTTCAGGCTGCCTTCACCAAGCCTGCCTAGTAATTGCCTTCGGAAAATCCAGTTCAAATCTACTAGGCCTCCCAAAGGACAAAAAAAAAGAGGAAAATAGTGATGAAAATAAGACTCAAAAGCACCTAACGGATCTATTATACAGTGTAGTATTATGTTACTCTGCCAGGTAAAGCCTTAGGCAGCAGGCCTACGTTTAGGTTGTATGAGGTTTTACACACACTGGCAAGGAAGGAAGGAAATGGCCATTTGCTGAGCACCTACAATGTACTAGGCACAGTGCTATGCCCTTTCCACATTTCAATTTATCATCCCATCATCCTCTAGATGATAAAATTAACCTTACTTGATAGATGTAGGGCAACTACAGCACAGGTTATGGGGCCTGACTGAGGTTGTTTGGCTACAAAGTGACTGATTTATAAACATCTTTGCTTCAAAAAGCTCATGCTCTTCTCAAGTCCTATTCAAAATCTCTAAGCCAAGAACACTGTAATGTTTTAAGGAGCCCACAGAACAGATCCTTCTCCTCAGTAGCTAGGAGGACAAGGTTCCTCTTCTCCAAGCAACAAAGCAGATTGCGCCCCGTGTTAAGATACCCCGGAAGGAAGGCTCAATTTGTCTAAAGATGCATCTGAGGCTGTTCACTGTGACTGTTACCAGGTAAGGAAGGTCAAACACACCTGGCAAGTAAAGGTTTCTTTTCTCCACAAGAAGAGTGGAGAGAAGGAAATAGTCATTTATTGAAAAGCAATAGATTTAATGATAGAGAATAGTCTCTGGAGCTAGACTGGCTAGGTTTAAGTCCCGTCTCTTGTTTGGCCTTAAGAGAATCCCATGTTTGTGCCCATGGGATGTCTTGGGTGGGAAACATCAGACGGATGGCAGGGTAGCCATGTGTTGGTATTTGCAGAAGCTGTCAGTGAGGACATGCGGTATACTGTATATTCTATTTTTGTGCATGTTAGAAATTGTCAATAACAAAAGCTTAAGAAACAAAAAACTTGTAACTGTGACATGGCCAAGTTTTCTGTCCTGCATCATTAGTACTCATTTGTAAAACTGAGTACTAATAGTACCTACCCTCATAGGGTTGTGTGAAAAATAAATGGATTAAAAGAAGTGCTAAGATATTATTATTATTTATGAAGTAACAACATCCGGACATGGGACTTGGCTTGACCAATACACTATTTGAATTAAATCCTCCCAGCAATCATATGAGCCAAGATAATTTCATTTTCACACAAGGAAATGGACTCAGAAATTTCAGCAGCAAAATCTACATAAAAACCCAGGTTTACTCTAGAACCTCATTTTCTACTACATGACTCACCTCCCTAAAAGTGACTTTAGCAGTCATTCAGACAGGGAAATTGAGGCTCAGTGGGGTTAAATAAGCAAAATTCTGAGCAATAGGCAGAGAAATAAATGCAGGTCAGAAAACATGCAGACCAGAGTCTTTCTACTAGTTGACAGGCTATCCTGGCTTTGTCCTCACAGCATCCATTTTGGGAGGGGACAGCCAGTACCCTAGAAAATGTCAATAGGTGCATCCCTCCAGCCCCTGAATGAGAAGGACTTTGGGGAAGTGGCTTTTAGTTTTTCCCAGACCAACAAGTACTAAGACTCAAAATAGAACGATATAAGGGGAAGGAAAATAGAAACCTAAGAGGAACTTTATGCTAGCAGCCTCTGCATTTGATAAATATTTTCAGAGCTCTGTCAGCCTCACCCAGTCTCAGGATCTCTGAACATCTGCTGGAGTCCTTCCTTTCCTCTTCCTGAGAGACTAACTCCAAGAGGCCCCAAATCTCCAATAGCAGCCTGTGTCATCAGTGAGCAAGTCATGCAGCCACTGAGATTACAAAAGCACTTCTCTCATGCACAAATCTCTCTATAATCAGCAATGACAGAGCAATGAGACACCCTCAGAACAGTTACCTGAATCTGACTTCCAAAGAGGCTGCTCCATCAGGGACCAGGACCTCAAGAACCATGCTGCTAGAATAAAATGAGGCAACACATCCAGCATGGCCAATTTGCATTAGAAACTCAGTTGGAATGCCAACAATTTGCATCCTTTCAACTAAGAACAAAACCAAGCCTGACCTTTACCTACAAGCACTGCTTTGTGTTGCTGTTTGCAAATACAGTATTTAAGTGGGAAAGGCTAACTGGTATAAAACCAGTTGAGGTCATATTCCAATTAGAACTCTCACATGGCTAAAACAAGTCAATTAACACTCACTTTCTGCCCCTCTCAAGACTCCCTCCACAATCTTAAAATGATCTAGCAGAAGAGCATCATTTTCCTGGAAGTGCTTTAGAATAGGGAGTGAAGGGAGGTACAGCCAGCCCCAGGAGAGAGGAAAGTGGAGAAAGGGGCAAGGCCCTGGAAAGGAACCCACAGACGTGCCTTCTGGCAAAACAAGAGAAACATCCTGTTTAAGGCTATTATCTCCTTTATTCAAAAAATAAATATTTCACTTTGAGTCAACATATTTCAAATCACATTAAGCACAGAGAAGACATACAGTCCCTTTGGAAATTGTGAACACGTGTAGGAAGTGGCATGTTCCAAACAATGGGGATGAGGTGAGCACTGATTCCAGCTGCTTCATGACCCAAAGTCGTCCTCTCACCAGGTGGAGCTACATATAGATTTATGAGAGAAACACACACAAACACACACACACACACACACTGCTTTGAAGTCTGAAAGGCACATGAAGTGGACCATAAGGTGTATGGCACGTTTACTGATAAAACGTTCCCTATTCCCTCCCAAGAAAAGTGGAGAAACTTTAATCAAGTCAAAGACCAGAGAAGCAGGGTGTTCCTGCTTAGAGCGCAGCAGCAGGAACATCTCTGCACATGAAAGCCATTTTTCATTTGCTTCCCCCTCCCTGCCCAAGGAGTCCTTGGCAGCCAGGTGCTCACTCGGTGATAGTGGGGCGTGTGGCCACATACACAAACACCACTATCAGAAGCACCACCACAGCCAGTGTGGGCAGCACCACTGTGGTGATCTGTTGTCGGGCCTCCTGCATGGCCTGCTTCCGCTCCTTCTTGTCCTTGGATGTCTCCTTCTTGGGCTTCCCTTTGAGCTGCCGCATCTTTCCTGGAGGATGCAAGACAGTGTGTCCAGAGAGGCTGTGAAGAAAGGTCCACACTCCTGTAGTCAAGACGGGGAGACAGATTCCTGTAGGGAGAACAACTATGATCAAGAACAAATTGAATGAAAAAAAAAAAAGAAATCACAATGTTAAAGACAAATGTGGTAAGAAAAGCACTTGCCAATTGTTATCATTTGGATGTGAGGTGTCCCCTAAAAGATCATATGTGAGAAAATACAAGAAGGTTTAGAGGTGAAATGAATGGGTTATGAGACCTTAACCCCATCAGTGAATTAATCCCCTGATAGGAATTAACTGAGTGCAACTGTAAACAGGTAGGGTATAGCTGGAGGAGATGTGTCACTGGGGGCATGCCTTTGGGGTGTAAATTTTGTCCTTCGCATGAGTACTGTCTCTCTGTCTCTCCTTCTCCCTCCTCTCATCTTGAACTGCTTTCCTCTACTATATTCTTCTGCCCAGATGTTTAGCCCCACCCCCAGCCCCAAGGAATGGAGCCAGCTGCCTATGGACCCAGAACTCTGAAACCGTGAGCTCCCCATATAAACTTTTCCTCCTCTAAAATTGTTCTTGTCAGGTCTTTTGGTCACAGCAGCGAAAAAGCTGACTAAAACACAGAAACCATGGGGGTCTCTGAGAACAAAAACAACCACTTTGTCTCTTCATTTGTTCCTTTACCCCATCATCCAACCCCTCCACCCCAAGCACCTTCTATGTGCTGAGCACCATCTAGGAACTCAGGATGAAGCTTAGGGACTGGGTTTTGTCCTCTCAGAGCTCACACTGCAGGGTGCACTGCAGGCAGTGGAAGATGGGTCTCACCAACAATGAAGGGGGACTGGCTGCGCCTTACCATCTATTCATCTATGATTCTCTTATGGTAAAGTTCTGTGGTTTGTGGAGGTGCTCAGGGGCCAGGGGAGTGGGTAGCTTATCATCTAAATGAGAAAGATGACATTTACACCTGAGTGGCCATGTTAGGTGGCAGAATGTCAATTCTGAGTCAGGAAAGCTCTTCTGGATACCTTCCTGACTTCCTGTTTTGTTGTATGGGATCCTAATCTCTTACCACTCCTTTGGTCACATATGGATCCTCTAGTATTTTTGTGTGTCATCCACAATCAGGCAGAATATCTTACAGTGAGATGATTATTGTGCTAGAATGATGCAATGCAGCCAAAAGCAAATATTAAAGTTTAGGGAAGCACCATTTGGGCAAATGTACAATTTCTATCAGAAAGAAATTAATATGTTAAAGTGCTCACAAGTACACACATGCTATAGTTTGGATCTGAAATGCCTGATCCCCAGCCCATGGAACTATAAGGATGTGCAGAACCTTTAAGAGGCAGGGCCTAATGGCAGTCTTCAGGTGCTCTTGAAGGTAATTGTGAGACCCCTGTCCTTTCCTCATCCTCTCTTGCTTCCCTGCCACAAAGTAACCAGTTATGCTGCCCACCTCCCACATCAGGCATAAAAGCAGGGAGTACACCCAATCATGGACAGCAACTTCCAAAATAAATCTCTTCTGTTTATAAGGTGATTATCTAAGACATCTGTTATAGTGACAAAGATAGAAAATTGGTACTGAGAAGTGTGGTGGTGGTCACTATACTTGAGATGATGTAGAGGAGCCTTTGGAACTGGTTTGCAGGAGAAATTTTGAAAAGTTTGAACTAGCAGGTAGGGAAAGCCTAGAATGCTGTAAGCAGAACCCAATGAGCCTTTCTAGTGAAGGTGCAGGAGATCAGAATGCTAATACGAATGTGGAGAGAAAGGCTATGTTGATGAGAGTTCTGCTGGAAATGATTATTCTATATAGACTAGAGGCAATCCCTACTACACAACAGCAAAGAATATGACTGTTTTGTCCATGACCTGAGACTCTGTGGGAGGCAGACCTCAAAGGTAGAGGAAACTTCAAGGCAACACAGCAGCTAGGCACCAGCATGGTTATTACTCTGCTTTTCACCAAACATATAGTGGTAATTGGGAACAGAGAGAAGCAGAGCTGAAAGATCTAAAATATTCATAGTTTGGCCAAAAAAGGCACCCATTTAAAGGTACAGCCAAGGAGGACCTGGTTGCTAGAGAGATTAGCACTATTAAAAAGAAGCCAAATGCTCTGCACCAGTACAACAACCCTGGAGGGCATCATCTCAGAATCAGCAAGGCAGCAGCCAAAACAAGCTCAAACCTGCAGAAACTGAGATTTGTTTCAAAGACTTTCTTGGGCCATTTTCTGAGAAGAGAGCCCTGGGGAGCCCTGCTTGTCCAGGAACACCTTGGAAATCATCCAGTATTCAGCCATCGAGGCACTCAGAAACTACCACAGCCTGGTTCAAGCAGTCCAAGGTACAGATCTTGCTAGCAGGAAACCCTAGCACAGTCAACACAATGCTGGTTTTGCAGGCATGCAGAATGCAAGTGTGATGGGATTATGGAGGCTGCTACAGAGAAAGCCTAGTAGTTCAGGCAGCATGGTGGAGATGGTGGAGATATCTCCGGCAGGCAGAGCTCAGAGGATGAAGAAAGGACAGGGGTCTCACAAGAGAGGATGAGGAAAGGACAGAGGTCTCTTTATATCTACATCCTAACATCCTCTCAGTGTTCCACCAGTAGTCCTTGAGAGGGTGTTAGGATATAGATATAAAGTGTCCCCAAAATCTCAGTGTGAGACAATGCAGACTGTTCAGAGGTAAAATGATTAGGTTATGAGAGTAATGTAATATTGATCTGTGATGTGAATACTGACTGAAAGGATTAACTGGGTAGTAACTGTAGGCAGGCAGGGTGTGGCTGAAGGAGGTAAGTCACAGAGGTATGGGGCATGCCTTTGGGGTACTTATTGTGTCATGGTGAATGAAATTCTCTCATCCTGGTTGTCATGTCCTGAGCTGCTTTCTCCTGCATTCCCTTCTGTCATGATATTCTGCCTCACCTCAGGCCCAGAGTTACGAAGTTGGCCAACCATGGACTAAACTTCTGAAACCATGAGTCAAGAAACTTTCCTTCCTTTAAGTAGTTCTTATTAGGTCTTTTGGTCACAGCAATGCTAAACTGACTAAAATGCAGGTCAATGAGTGAAATTGTGAGAGTGAAGCCAAAGCTGCGATAGACCTGTGAAATTAAAGATGGTAAGAACAAGGAACACTTACTGAGGAAGGATGCAGACAGTGTGCAAACCAGCACAAGAGAGTGGCCATGTGGACAGCAACAAGCAAAGCTGAAGGGGTAGAGTTCCCCAGACCCAGGGAGTCCATATTCCACCACAGTGTGCCTAGAGGATGGACCGAGACAGAATTTAATGTTTGCTCTTGGTGGGTTTCAGTCTTGCTTTGGACCAATCACTTCTTGACATTTTTTTGTTCCTCCCTTCTTGAATGGGCATAGTTACCTAGTATCTAACCTTCTTTTTGCTTTTTTACTGGGGCTCATAGCTAAGAGTCTGCCCTTTCAGAAGAGAATGTGGAGGTGGTCTCCTGGGCTATGCTATAATAAGTCTTAGGGGACTCTTAGAGAGGGACTGAAAGTATTTTGCATTGTGAAGTGGACTTAAGCCTCTGAGGGCAGGAACAGAATATTGTATATTGGATGTGGAATGTCTTTAAAAGGTCCATATATTAAATGCTTGGCCAGCCTGTAGTGCTCATGGGAGATGCTGAAACCTTTAAGAGGTAGAACTAAAAGGGAGGCCTTTATGTCACTGGGGGCATGTCTATGACTGGGATAGTGAGGCCCTAGCCCTGTTCTCTATCTTTTGCTTCCCCATCAGAAATTAGCCCATTTTGCTATGCCACGCACTGTTGCCGCCATGGTATGCTACACCAACCCCACCTAGGCCTAGAAAAAGTGCGTTCACCCAATCATGGTCTAAACCTGTGAGCCCAAATAAACCTCTTCTCTTCCTTAAGGCCTGCAGTATAGGTATAAAATAAGAACCCCTGGTTTAACCAATTCTCCTTTTCATGTCTTCCAAAAGACTTTCAGACCTACTTGAATTCAAGGCAGATGTACCACTTATTGGCTAAATGGCTCTGAGCAAGTCACTTGACTTTACTCAGCCTCAATGTCACCATCTAAACTTGAGAACAACTTCTATCTTAAAGGATGACTGAAAATCTGAAAAGAAAATGCATACATACATTGAGCTCTGCCTGCCAGAGACATCGCCACCAACTACCTTGCTGTGGCCCTAGCAGAGCTTTCAGAGCTTCTATAAGTCTTGGCCACCACCTGGGAGGGATCATATGGTAGTGTCCATCCTAACAGGACTGTGGAGTGTGGCACAGAGAAGGCACCACTGAACTTGCCCCAAATGTCCTGTGAGTTAGATGGACAAGCTTTAGGATCCTCATTATAGAGAGAAACAAAACAAGGGCCAAAGAGGAAAAATGTCTTCCCCATGGTCACCCAGTCTGTAAATAGAACTCATGGCTTCTAATTGAGCAAGGGACAGCATCCCACAGTCCCTTCTCTTCCTGACAAAGCCTCATAAAATTGTTTAAAAAGCAACAAGCCATTACCAGTACTCTGACTCATGGCCATTTCCCTGTGGAGCTAATGGCCTGTCAGACCCTGCAGCTATCTCCCATAGAGCCTTGCAGACTGACAGGCAGCACCATGGCCCAGTGTTAACAAGCACCTGGCCACTCCAGCTAAAAGTGCCGGCCTGACTTTCATCCTGCTCCCTTAGCTGCTGTCTGCATCCTCCCACGCATGTGCAGTTGGCATTCAAAGGCACCATCCTCCACAGTGACCAGCTCATGACATTTATAAGATGCATTCACAAGTTCCCAGAGACTTGGAAAAAGTCTTGAGTTGCTGGGATGGTCAGGGCTTAAAGGACAAACAGTCTAAATTCTGCATCCTTCATCAGGCTGTGGTGGACAGCCTCCCTGAGCTCACCTGAGGAGTGGGGAACAACAACAGAAAGCATCTCTGAAAAAATACCTGAAAAGGGAGAGCCTGTGATGAAGGGACCAGCCAGGACAGAAGCTGCAAGAGTGCCAGGAAGGGGCTGGCTTACTGCAGGAGTGAGGAATGAGGAAAAGAGGGACAGAGGTGACATGGAGCCAAGTTCCCCTAGAAATTTGCAGGCCATGATGAAGAATGTGGCTTCATTCTAAGAGCAGTACAAGGGATTTAGGGGCTTGACACAAGGAGATGCAGGTTTTAAAAAGCTCCCTCTGGCTGGTCAGTGGTGAGTATACCCTAGGTGAATAAAAGGGGAGACTCTGGAGCAGTCTAGGAGGAGGGTCAGTGCTGACAGAGGATGAAGTTATATGCTGGAGGTATAACTGTGGGCCTTAGTGATGGATGGGACAGGGTCAGTGAGGAAAGGTGTCATCAAGATAAGTCTTAATTTCTGGGGCTTGAGCCACTGGATGGGTAGTGATCTCAACTCATGGAATGAGAGAATGGGACATGGGAGGAGGAGTGTGGATTTGAGAAAGAACATTAAGTGCTCTGTTCACACCTGTCCATGTGAGGATGTGTACTGGAGACCACCAAGGAAATATCCAGTGAGTCAAGACCTGGGACTGGGCTAAAGATCCATATTTGGAAGTCATTAGCTGTTGGATTAGGTAAGATGACTACACTAAGATAGTCAGAGAAAGGGGCCCAGGCCAAAGCCTCCTGCCTGCCTGCATCCTACTAGCTACAGGTCAGGTGGTGCATTGTTTTTTGTCACTGTGACCAAAATACCTGACAAGAACAACTTAGGAGAAAATTCTTATTTTAGCTCACAGTTTCGGAGGTTTAAGTTCATGGTCAGCTGGCTCAATTTCTTTGGGGTGGACATGATGGACAAAAGCTGCACAGTTCCTGATAGCCAGGAAACAGAGAGGAAGGGTCTCAGGGAGAAGATAAACCATTTCAGGCACACTTCCAGAGACCTACTTCCTTCAACTAGGTCCTGCTTCCCAGTAGTCCATTTGGCTCAATGGATGAATCCATCAAGTGGATTAACCCTATGGTGAGGTCAGAGTCCCCATGATCTAATCAATGCCTAAAAACCCCATCTCTGAACCTTGCTGCACTGGGGACTGACCAGACTTTCAGGACCTGAGACTCTGGGGGACATTCCAGATCCAAAAACTAACAGGTGGGAAGACACCAAAGCAAAGGAGACTTGGAGAACAGGCAAGTAAAGAAGAAAACATGGTATCAAGGGGACTAACACAATCAAGAGGTCACTGCCAAAAAGACAACCAAAATGAAGGAAAAGCAGGACCTACTGGACTCAGCAAAGTAGAGCCTACCATGAGGGCTTCAAGTGAGTTAAAGGGAGAGTTCAGATGCACCACTGAGTGCAGCCTGCATTTCACTGCTTATCTGGGAAGAGGAGCTTGAGCCAGAATGTAAATAAACATGCTGCTTCTCATTGAGAAAGTTTTGCTATGGAAAACACATCAGCTGACTGTGCTTGGCCACTGACTCCCATTGCAGCACTGGCACCTTACAACTGTTGCAATTTGTGATAGCTAGTTAGCAGGCCAGCACCTCAAGCAGCATAGGGCAGACAGCTGGCTTGAAGTTCTGCTGGAAGAACATATGTGGCCAAAAGCAGTTTCCTGACTTTAAGTAATGAGAGAAATCAGAGGATGTGTGAGGGGTCTAGTAGATCAGAAGAAAACCCTGCTGCTGAGAATGCAGGGTGGGTATCTTAGGAGAGTGGGTAAGAACACAATGGACACTTATACCTGGGAAAGAGGAAAAGCACACCTGAGTACAAGGCAGGTCGGGGAGAGAGACAGCAAGGGCTGCCACATGGAAGAGAGACAGAGGCTTCAATTTTTTTTTTTAATGAAATGGTTGAGGGCTTCAGTCAGTCTGAGGGGTTGGGAGGCAGCCTTAAGAAAAAGGGGAATACAAAATAATCATCTTGGAGAGAGGGAAAGCAAATTCAGAGGAATTGGTTCTCATGGCTGACATTCTTCTATCCTTACTGCCCACACTGCACCCCTGAGTGAACTGAAGACCATTTCTCCATAGGCTCTGGCCTTCTTGACTGGACCACACAGCCTCTCCTAGGCCAGGGCTGGCTCATGCAGATTCTGCCAAGACCCTGGAAATGGGTGGCATGCTTTAAGAAGCTGGGCCAATTGGCCTCAACTTCAAGAATCTAAATACACTAAAAAAAATTGAAGTTAAAGAGATATGCCTAAGTTCCTCCAGGTACTTTTTTCCAATTTGGAGATGGTGAAGATGCAGGCATTGGGGAAACCCATTCAGTGCCATATGTAGGAGACAACAGGTAAGCCAGGTGAGAGGAGATGAGAGGCAGAGAACTGATTTCCAAGCTTACCTTTCAACTCCACTCTTAACGGTTTAGTCCAGTCCCTATAAGGCTCTTGTCCTTAGATTATTGTGGCAAATTTCTCTTTCAATGTGAGCTGGCTCCAGTGGACCTGTGTACCTTACACTGATCACACAGCCCTACTGAAAGGACCACTCCAGCTTCACTATGAGGAATCCAAACCTCCACTGTCACAAAATAAGGGAGGAGCAGAACCAAAGGTCAAACCCTGAAGCTTATAGTCATCAATCTCCTAAATATACCCCACACATCTTCCTGCCCTTTGCCCATCATGGAGACACTCCATTGCTGACCAGCCCCTTGCACACAGGAAACAAAAAGTGAAGCTCACACAGTTCCGTCTGGCTTCTTCTCAGTAAGCAGATGGAACAGGATGGATGCTGAAGCCACCGCTGAGTTCTAGTGTTATAGCTGTGAGCACAGTCTGGTCACCCCACTACCTCTAGCCGCCCTAACCAGGGAAACGGAAACCTCATAAACACTGGAGTTCCAGCTGGTTCTAATGAAACTTCACCCACTATGCCCCACCCCCATCAATGTGAGCCCATAGCAACTGGTCAGCACTGAAACATTCCTATTGCATGTGGGCAGGAGACTAGGAGGGTACACACACATCCTTTAACATAGAAATTTTTAAGTTCATGATTTTTCTCTGATTACTGCTTTATAGTCTTTTTCTATGTGCATACTGATACACACATGCTCATTGAGTCTTTATATGAACTTCTTTCTAACTTGCAGATCAAAATGTATACAGTATTAGATCCTATTAGGGAGACAGGAGAAAAGGTAAGAACATGGATTGAAAACAGGTTTGAGCCTCAGCTCTGCCACATCTAGCTATAACACTTTTAGCAAAGTAAGCGGGGGGGGGGGAAATCCCTGCATTGTAAAGTTATTAAAAAATCAAAAATAACATATGACATCAACAGGCCATACCAGATACACAATAAATG